GTCTCCCTTACCCTTACTCTCTGAATCAATAAAATATGTTATTAAAAAAAAAAAGAAGGGCCTTTAGTAGTTCTTTAATGCTCATTTGTTGGTGATGAATCCCTTTAGGTTTTTCTTCTCTGAGAAACTGTTTACTCTTCTTTGATTCTAAATGGTAGCCCTGCTAGGTAGAGTAATCTTGGTTGTAGGTCCAGTTTTTCATCACTTGAATATTTCTTGGCAGTCCCTTTTGGCCTGCAAAGTTCCTGTTTAGAAGTAGCTGACAATTGTATGGGAGCTCTCTTATAGATAACTAATTGTTTTTCTCTTGCTGCTTTTAATTTTCTCTCTGTCTTTAACCTTTGGCATTTAAATTATGATGTGTCTTGATGCAGGCCTCTTTGGGGTTCATCTTGTTTGGGACTCTTTGTGCTTCCTGGACTTGTATGTCTATTTCAAATAGGTTTTCAATCTCTTGCCCTCTCTTTTGTCCTGTGGTACCCCTATGATGCGAATGTTGTTGTGCTTGAAGGTATCCCAGAGGTCCCTTAAACTATCCTCATTTTTAAAAATTCTTTTTTTCTTTTTGCTGTTCTGATTGGGTGGTGTTTTTTTTAATCCTCATCTGACGATATGTTTTATTGATTTTAGAGAGAGAGGAAGGGAGAGAGAGAAAGAGAGAAACATCGATGTGTGATAGAGAAACATTGACCAATTGCCTCCCATACATGCCCCAACTGGGGATTGAACCCACAACCTAGATATGTGTCCTGACCAAGAATTGAACCCACAAATTTTGTGTGCATGGGATAATGTTCCAACCAAATGAGCCACCAGCCAGGGCTGATTGGGTGTTTTTCATTAGCTTGCCTTCCAAATTGCTGATTTGATTTTCTTCTTCATCTAATCTATTGATTTCATCTAATATAGTCTTCATTTCAGTTATTTTAGTATTCATTTCTGACTGGTTCTTTTTAATGGTTTCTCCTTCTTGTGTAAGTTCATTGAGCATCATTATAATCAGTATTTGGAACTCTGTATTCCGTAGATTCCTTGCCTCCATTTTGTTTAGTTCTTTTTCTGGAGTTTTGTCCTGTTCTTTCATTTGGGACATATTTCTTTGTCTTCTCATTTTGGCTGCCTCCCTGTATCTATTTCTATGTATTAGGTAGATCTATGTTTCCCCGTGTTGGTAAGGTGACCTTATCTAGTAGGTGTCCTGTGGGGCCCAGTGGTGAAGACTCCCTGCTCACCCGAGCTGTGTGCTTCAGGGGTGTTCCTGGTATCATTTTGTGTGCTCTCCTGTTCTAGTTGAGCTTTGATTGCCATTGACATGTCAGTGGTGGGATTGACCCTAAGGTGGACTGGCTGTGAGGACTGGCTGTGACTATAGTGTATGAGCTAGAGTGCGGGGATTGACTCTGTGGAGAGTTAGTCACTGTACTGAGGCTCTGGTGCCTGTCAAATCTACAGGTTGTTTGTGTCATTTATGGAGCTAATTTGGTGATGCTCTGGTATGATCTGAAGCCAGCCACCAGGTGTGTTGGTTCTGGGGCCTTTTGGGAGGGGCTCCAGTGCAGGCCCAGATCAGCCATTACCTGTGCCTGGTCTGGGGACAAGTGATGTGATCTACAAAGTGATCTGTTTGATGGTGCCTGTGCTGGACTTGGAAACACTTGGGAGAGGCTCTGGTGCAGACCAAGGACTACCGCCACTAGTCCTGGGCCAGTTAGCCAGAGGTAGAGGTCATGCCCAGGCCGACTGCTGTTTGTTTGTGGACCTTTTAGAGATTTGATGAAAGTCCACAGCGTGGGCCCAGACGGGCAGTTTGTGAGGAACAGCCACTGAAAGAGGTTTGGGTTGGCGTGTGAGTTAAGTAGGGTGGGTTTCAGGGAATCAACAGTGTGGGGTGAGTTTGATGGTAACTCAGATTTGGTGTCAGCCTGTGTCTGCTGGCTGTGTGCAGGGAGGATTCAACAAAGGAACAATGGTGCTTGCAGCAGTTTAGTCCCAGGGAGAGCTGCTCCTCCAGCCGTCCAAAAGCCAGACAAGTCAGTTTCATCCAGTCTCGCCCTGCAATTTTTTGAATGCTGTCCCTGAACTGGAGTCAGAGCCGTGAGTATGTCAGCAAGTAAGTTTGTACACAGGCCCTTGAAAAGGAATACCTGGGACAACAGCAGCCCTCCGTGTCACCCAGACAGAATCTCCACTGATTTTGGAGAATCCTTTTCCTGGCACTGGTGGTATGGTCTGTGCCCAGTGTAGCGCTGGGACGCCTGGCTCCTCAGGGAGGACCTCCATAGCTGAGACCAGGCTGGGACCAGCCTGTTTCATGTCTTTGCCCTCCGACCAATCTTGGTGAGACTTCTTATTATATCCTCAGTTGTACGAGTTTTGTTCAACTAGTCTTCAGATGGTTCTTAAGGGTGGTTGTATAATTTAGTTGTAATTTGATGTGGTTGTGGGAGAAGGCAAGCATGTAGGAATAGGAAGTACTATATACTTTAAAAGGGTGAATTGTATGATATGTGAATTATATAACAATAAAAAACCACCAGACACAGGGAAAATTTCATCTTACATATACAAATGTTTAGTATCTAAAATATTTATACAGAAATACTACAAATAAAAATAGTTAAGTATCTAGATTCTATAAGTAAATAGTCAAAGGAGCTATATAATTTCTATAGAAGGAAACAAAGAGTAGAAATTCACTTGGAAAAATTCAGTGCCTCAACAAATATTAATGATATGAAACACAGGTAAAACCCCATCTCTGTTAAATCAGCAAAAAAAAAAAAAAGTCAAACATTGCTTTGGGCAGAAACATTTTTTAATCTTTCTGAAGGATTGGCCACTGTAGCAAGTGTTATCAAATAGTTTATATTTTAGAACCATTTTAGGAATAACAGGAGAAAAAAATAAGTGTTTGGGGAGGTGGGGGGAAATATATACAAAGCTGGTTGTGAAAAGGTTATTAGTAAGGGATAATTGGGAGTAATAAATGACCAACCATAGGGAACAGCTAAACAAGTAGGGCACGTGAACTGTGTCAGCAGATAGATTATTTGCATAGAACCAAGCTCCATGAAGACAGCAAGGCATGTGTTTTGTGGTCTGGTCATAACCATGGAGAACTGGAGTCCAGTTTGGCTCTAGTGTGCAGATGTGGAAAGAGGAGGTGCGGTCTTGGAAGGCAGCTATGCTCACCACTATACCACCAACGCTATATCCTTTCTCTTTACATGTCTTTAAATGGGGGATGATAGCGGGACATCTGTGAACTAAAGCACCTAATATTCCCACAGATTTTCAGACAGAGATTAGGACAGAAAATTTGACACTTAGAATATATGTCAAATGTTTTCCCACCACAGTAGCTCCATCTCTTTCATGGTGTTCAGTGGGGAAATGGTATCTCACAGCAATCAATCAAGTGACAGCAAATGGAATTATGATTAAATCTTCTAATCAATTTATTTATCAGGCACAGCCAATACTCTTAAGAACCACAGTTCATTAATCCAGATACAAAAAAATGTATAGCAAACCACTTTGCTTATTTTTTTCCCCCTAGACAAGTCCTCAAGACAGGGGAAAATAAAATGAGGGGACATATCCTTGCCATGGGTACTGAGGGAACATGAGGGTGGAATCTCTGTCGCAGGAGCATCTTAGGGTGTTAATCCATACAAGGGTTTATTAAGCCATGCACTTTCTACTCTGAAAAAAACATGGCATGTCATCAGCATATGTGTTCTCTTCACCCTTGGTTTACCATTATTTGAGGACCTAGCTTATTTCTACTACTATTCCATAAGCTCCTAGGACACAAGGACTATTCTCTGATTTATTATATTTCCCAAAGCACCCAGAACCCAATGTATGTTCAATAATAACTGGCGAGAGTATAAGTTCAAAGTACAAGGCTGGGAGTTGGAAGAGAGATGCAAAGTGTAGGGCTTTCAGTGAGGCCCCTGGTCACCGACTGGACAGATGGTGAGAGGATCCATGTTCTTCCCTCCATCATGTGTCCCAGGGCTGAAGATAGCTTGAAGGGGCCCAGAGAAAGAGAAGCTGGTGAATGTGTAGATGTGCGATTTGGCTGTCACATTGTAAAAGGAAATGTCTCCAGCCTTGTAATCCAGGAAGATGCCCACACGCCTGGGGGGCTCCCTCATCCGCAGGCGGGTCGGGGGGAAGGTGGATGCCTGGTACTCATTTCGCTTCATCATCATCACCACCCAGTAGCCATTCTCTGGCGACAGAGTCATGTTCCCCTTTCTGCTTGTGGATGCCTTGCAGATACCCAGGACCCACCCTGTCTTGTCTCCCACCTCCACTTCCCAGTAATGACGGCCAGAGCGGAAGCTTGGAGAGCCCAGGGCAAAAATGCAGCTATCAAATCTTTCTGGACTGTCAGGCATATGGATCCACTTGTTTCCAAGTCTAGCACTCTTCAGGTCATCAGAGATGATGAGGTTGGGGTGGGCAGTTTCTGCATCCAGAACCACATTAACTGCAGAGAGAATTAGAATACCTAGCTGGGAGTCAATGGGCAACATCCCCACAGGTTCACCCCACCTCCAGAAAACATGGACAGGGATCCATCAGGCCAAGACCACTCGCCTTGATCTGGCACTTACCGGCATGTGTCTGAGCATCAATCAGTTCTGGAACTACAGAGAAAAAAAAAGATGAGGGGGGAAATCCTGAGCATTCCCACTCAGAGGGCTAAATCCACCTGGATCCCCACAACAAGGAAAGACAAGAACCCATATGCCCAGGACCTGACTCCTCTGCTTGGATATAACCCCATTCCTCCCAGGCACCAGGGCCTCTCTGGTCTGATGGGTTGACCCAGCTAAAGGAGTTTCGCACAGAACCTGTGAGGGCCTGTCATGACCTTTCTCACAGGTGTTTTTCTCACTCTCTTCTAAATAATGCCCAGAAATCAACAGTACAAGGAAATATCACAATAACTCCTGCTCAGCACATACCACCACCACAGTACTTACCATTGAAGGTTTCCATTTCTGAACGTAGGGTTCCTAAAGGAGAAAGAGAACTAGAGTTAATTTCCCCAGCTAAGGACAGATCAGAAGGAGGCTGAGGCAGAGTCAGAAGACTGAGAGATGGAGAAGGGATGCCCGGGGGCTCTGGGCTACATGGATCTCTGGGAGGAAGTGAGTGGGCACCTTCTATCTTCCCCCAAGCCCGCCTACCTGAGAAATGCTTCATGCTCTTCTCCACAAACTCTGATTTCTGGAGGAGCAGGTGGATCTTCTCTTTCACCTCTAGAGGGGTGGCCCATGGCTCAGGGACAGTCACTGTCTTGACTCTAGAGATAAAAGACTATTGTCCAGAGAGGGCTGGAGCATGGAGTGGCCCAAGCTCCCATAAAATGGAGGGAGGTGCAGCCTCCACAGGGCACACCCAGCCCCGCCTGGGCTTTGCAAAAAAATTCCTCCCTGGACTTCAAGTCCTAAACATTGGTCCTCAACTTTGACCATGAATTTGCATCACCTGGGGAGTTTTTATTTTTTAAATCTATTTTTATGTATTTCAGAGAGGAAGGGAGAGGGAGTGAGAGATGGAAACATCAATGATGAAAGAGAATCATTGATCAGCTGCCCACAACCTGGGCATATACCCTGACCGGGAATTGAACCATGACCTCCTGGTTCATAGGTCGACACTCAACCACTGAGCCAAGCCAGCCGGGCTCACCTGGGGAGTTTTTTAAAAGCACTGATGTTAAAACCACAACGTGTTTTAATAATAGCCTTAAAATGCTTCTTATATTGAAATGCTCAGCCCAGAATTATCTATGTCAAATTAATTATACTTCCTCAGTCATTTTCTTTCTATTGAAATAAAATGATAATAGATGAGGAAAAAACACAATGAAATATTACTTCACACCCATTAGTATGGCTGTAGTTAAGAAAAAAAATAGCCAGGTAGCTCAGTTGGTTAAAGTGTCATCTCAATATACTAAGGTTGTGGGTTTGATCCTTGGTCAGGGCATGTACAAAAATCAACCAAGGTATACATAAATAAGTGGAACAACAAATCAGTGTTTCTCTCTCCCCTTTCCTGCCTCTCTAAAATCAATCAATAAAAACAATTTAAAAAGAAAAAGAACAAGCCTTAGTAAGGATGTAGAGAAAGTTGAACCCTTGTACATTGCTGGTGGGAATGTAAAATTGTGCAGACACTGTGGGAAATATTATGGTGGTTCCTCAAAAAAAACTAAACATAGAATTACTACATGATAGAGAAATTCCATATCTGGGGATATACCCAAAAGAATTGAAAGCAGAGACTCAAACAGATATATCTGTATCAATATTCATGGCATTATACACAATAGCCAAAAGATGGAAGCAATCTAAGTATCCATTGATGGAAGACTGGATAAACAAAATATGGTATATACATACAATGGAATATTATTCAGCCTTAAAAAATGAATGAAATTCTGACGCCTGCTATAGCATGTAGACATTATGCTAAAGGAAATAAGCCAAACACAAAAGTACAAATATTTTTTGATTCCACTTATATGAAGTAGTTAGAGTAGTCAAATTCACAAAGACAGAAAGTAGAGTGTTGAGTGCCAGGGGCTGGGGTTGGGGGGAATGAGATGTTTAATGGTATGGAATTTCCATTTGGAAAGATGAAAAAGTTCTGGAGATGGATGGTGATAATGGTTGCATAATAATGTGAATGTACTTAATGCCACTAAACATACATTTAAAAATGATTAAAATGGTAAATTTTATGTTATGTATATTTTACCACCAAAAAAAAAAAAAAAAGACTTAAAACATTGATTCCTGAGTTACACTCCTGAAGGTTCAGCTTTAAGTCACCAGCCCTAGCCTGGGTGTCAGGATTTTGTAAAGCTCAGGGGGTGATTGTAACTTCCAGCCTCCTCCCTCCCATTCCCTCCCCTGCCTGCGGGGCTTTGCAGCTCCACTCCCGGAAAGTGCTTCCCTCCCTGAGGCTACAGGCACTCTGCAGGAAGTTTTCTTGAGGTGAATTGCATAGGACACAATCTATTAGGTTTCTTAGGGCACCACCAACAGCACGGCAGGCTGTATTCATTCTTTCCAGTCTTCAACCCCATTTTCTTCCTCCCGATCACACTCCTGTTTTCGCTACACAAATCCAGAAAGGCCTTAGGTAGCAGCAGGAAATGGGAGGAGCCCAGGAAGGAGTCCCAGGCCCAGGGCTGGGAGCATCTCCCTTCTAGGACTGCCTTCCCAAATGCTTCCTGCAGCACACCCAGGGGATCACCAGGGGAGCTCTCGGTACCTGCGCAGGGTTACTCCGATGTCCTAGGAGAAAAAAGAGGGAAGCTCTCCGTTACCAATCTCCTAGGGGCTGCACTAACTACTGGCCTCTCTCCCTGGGTCCCAGTGCATCCGCAAACCTGGGGCACCTCTCCCAATTTTAATTCTAATTCCCCAAGGTGCAGCCCAGCTGTGGCCTGCAACAGAACTGCACCCAAGTCCTGCTGATCTCTTCTGGGAGATGCCAGGAGATCCCCTCATTCTGGGCCACTCTGGGCTCCTAAGAGCTCACAAAAGGGATCTGGGCACAAGAGGCATTGTGGGTCACCAAGACCAAGTCCCACCCTTGGGCCCAAGGACCTCACCCCCCGGCTGGGGCAGAGCAGATGTCTGTGTTAGGAGCCCATGTCTTCCTACTGGGCACAATGGGCAGGGCAAGGCCAGGTCCTGCCACACTCACCTGCATAAGCTCCCATTCCGGCTGGCGCTGCTTGGTCTCCAGCTCCTCGATCAGCTCGGTGAGAAGGGCGATGTCCCTGGACACTTGGGTGTCATATGTCTCCCCGACCTGGACAATGGTCTGTGCCAGCTTCTCTAGCCAGGCCACAAAGAGCCGCTCCTGCTGCTCCAGGAACCGGCACAGCTGCTCCATCTGGCACCGGACTCTCTGCTTCTGGATTTCAGTTTGTTTCTGGGAACGGGACAGGGAGGTAAAGGGGTCTGTGCAGTAAGGTGGATGTGTGTGTTCCCAGGGGATCCCCAGAAGCCCACCTCCTGGAGGTAGATAAGAGGCAGGCTTTCTTAGAGGCCTGCATTCCAGAGAAGGCGGCAAAATGGACCAGAACCTTTCCACAACAGACGGAGGGTGGAAGGGACTGGCTCTGGGGAAAATGTCCTAAAACCTGCTGTTATGGGTTAAATTGGGTTCCCTCTAAAATTCATGTTAAATTTCTAACCCCCAGTACCTGAGAATATGATCTTCTTTGGAAATAGGGGTTTTGCAGATGCAATTCGTTAAGATGAGGTAATACTGGAGTGGGGTAGGCCACTGGAGTGGAAATTTGGACACAGACACGAACATGAGAACACCATGTGAAGAGACGGGGAAAAGACAGACATCTACAACTTGAGAAGAGAGGCCTGGAACATGTCCTTCCCTCATGGCCTTCAAGGAACCAACCCTGCCAAGACCTTGATTTCTGACTTCTAGCTTCCAGAACTGCAAGATAGTAAGTTTCTGTGGTTTAAGCCACCCAGTTGGTGGTATTTTATTACAGCAGCCACAGGACACAGATATCTGATGTCACCTTCTTCCTTGAAAGCTAGTGTGAGGATGGCATATACCTGGGGTCAGAAATGGACAAGATTATGACCACCAAGCTCTCCAGAAGGGAAACCTCTCCAATCCCTGCTCCCCTGCCCCAAGTGCTGGCATGCAGAAGGTTCTCAATATGGCTCTGAATGGGCTAGTTAGTCCATTTATTTGAATGTAAGTGAATTTGACTTCCACTACCATTGCACACTGGTCACCCATTAGTTCTCTCACCCTGTTTCTCATCATCACTAGGAAGCTTCTATGGAGAGGTGTAGTGGCTAGAGCACCTTTTCCTTCCTCCCAGGAGGGTGAGGGCCTCTTAGAGCCACTAAGATGGACTTAAGAAGTCTCATCATGCCCTAACCGGTTTGGCTCGGTGGATAGAGCATCGGCCTGCGGACTGAAAGGTCCTAGGTTCGATTCCAGTCAAGGGCATGTACCTTGGTTGTGGGCACATCCCCAGTAGGAGGTGTGCAGGAGGCAGCTGATCAATGTTTCTCTCTCATCGATGTTTCTGCAGGCCGACGCTCTATCCACCGAGCCAAACCGGCTTCGGCTAAAATATATTTTTAAAAAAAGAAGTCTCATCATTTTGGGCTCAAAGGACAGGACTAAATTTCCTCACCCAAGGATATTTTTTCCATTGAGAGTGGAGGGGAGGGAGGATGGCAGGGGGAGAGACAGAGACAAACATCCATCTGTCACCTCCTGCACGTGCCCCAACTGGGCCTGGGAGTGAGCCTGTAAACAAGGTATGTGCCCTTGACCCTTCAGTGTGTGGGCCACTGTGAATTTCTTAAGTGAAGGCTAGACCCTCTTGTCCCCCTAGTTTCCCTGAGCAGCTCAGAGTCCTGACCCATCCTTCTCAGGGGACATCCCTGACCTCTGTTCCATCCATAAGTTCGAAGCCTCCTGGGGTTATAGGAAAGGGTTTTTATTTTACTACAATTTAGGAGTTTCCCGAAAGTCAGGCACTGGGCCAATGTCACCTTCCTCCCATTCTTTTTTATCTTTGCCTGTTTCCCATTGCAATGTGATGGGTCCCAAAAGAAATCTAGAACCCAGAGAGGGAGATAGGATCCAACCAACAAAAGTGCATGAGATAAGTTGAAGCGCCTTGGGGTAGGTGCCTTCACTTGCAGGTAAAATGGAAGCAATTTACACATCCAAGAGGCTGGACACCAGCTCCACAGAGGAAGGCCAGTAATCTGTGGCATTGCAAAACCGCGGTTCTAAAGAAAATGTGTACTTTAAGCACTTGCATTTTAAAAATCAATATGGTTTTTGTAAAAAAAATAAAATGGACAACAATGCTAAGAGCAATAAAGAGAAGTATTCAAAGTTGAAAAGTCTCTCCTCCCTGTTCCTCAATCCCATCCCTCAGCCACAGTCACTGGCATTAGTTCCTCTAAACCATTTTGTGGTGAATATGAGAAAGTGTGACAGGGTCCTCAGAGATGCCCCTCCCTCCGAGCTCTGTAGGGACCAGCTCATCCTTAGACACCCATACCCCTCCCCCACTGCAGCCAAGAGCAGATAATTCTAAATATATGATCAGCTCTGCTTCCCCGTGAACCAGAATAGAACCTTGTGGACCCCTGTTTGCTCTCTGTCCCTCCCTCCTGCAGGGGTGAGCCTGAGTGAGGACTGGCCACAGAACACCCGTTGCCTTACCAGGTAGTTTGCAGTGTTCTTATCCCCTTCAGATCTCTGCTCTTCTCCAGATCTTCTCAACGCCTTCAGGTGCTCCAGTTCCTTCTGAATTTGCTCCTGGACAAAGAGCATTTGTTGAAGCTTAAACTAGGCTCCAGCTATGTTCAGTTGGTGCCAACTCTAGAGGGGAGAATCTGCTTTAGGGCATAACGCTGAGGGTGCTGCAGCCAAAAGCAAAGGGAGGGATGCCCAGGAAAGAGAAGAATGAATCCATCACACTAAGGGAAGCAGAGCCAAGAGGAAGAGAAATTCTAACGACCTCCTGTGAGCACCTGCATTTCGCCATACCTGAAGCAAGGCCCTTGGACCTCTCAGCTACCCGCACTGGTAAAGTTTTTCTTTGCTGTCCAGGTTCATATTGTGTTTTTGCCATTTACAGCTCAAGAGTGGCAGCTAATGCACCAACCTCCTAGCGTCATTGGGCAAAGGAAGCAGGCCCCCACATGTCCAAGTGCTCAGCAGAGAAGGCCCCCAGGCAGGAAGCCCTACCTTGTATTCCAGGGCAGCTTCCTCGATGGGGCGCACCCGGTGGCCTCGGTGCTCCTGGCTCAGGCTGCAGATGAGGCAAATAGGCTCCCTGTGGTCCTCGCAGAAGAGCAGCTGGACCTGCTTCCTGTGACGCGTACATTGCGGCTGGAGCGTGGGGCTCAGGCTGCCCATCGGTGGGCCCTCCTGCGGCTCGATGCCTCCAGAACTCTTCCCTGGGAGCGAGACCTGACACCTGAGGCAGTTGGGCAAGCAACCATCTGAGGCCTTGGGATCCTTAGAAGCAATGGAGCAGCTGCCGGAATCACGCACACAAGTGCTACCAACCAGATCTCCTTCCTGGGCCCGGGAGAGCGGACACACAGCTTCATCCTGCGGCCTCCCTGGGAACACAGCAGTGGAAAAATCCCCTGAGTGACAACCCCCAGATGTGACGAAGGGGTGATGCAAAAGCACAGCGGAGAAAGAGCCCACACCCGGGACTCGGGAGTTCTCCATTGAACTGTGGCCACTTCCGAGCTTGCCCCCTTCCGAGTCCTCTCCAGCAAGGCAGCCGACAAGTCCCTGGGACTGAGAGTTAAGGGCTAGATCTCATGACAGCCCTGAGACCTGGAATTCTTGGGGACTTATCCTAAAGAAAGGCCTTTTGCTGTAAATCCTGTGCCTTCCTCCCACACACACACTGATCTAGCAGTTGATATAAAGACAGCAAGACATTTTGACTGGTGTTTGTTTTAGCACTTAAAACCACCCAGGCTGCTCATGACTTGAGTAGGAAACGCCCAGCAGACATTGACTGGCTCAGAGCTAGACGCCCCGACCCCTAGCAAAGTCCCTGGCACCTGGTGAGCCTTTGGGAAAGTGCGTTAAATGAAGGAACAAATGGACTGCCTTTCACACCCAGGTTCAGGGAGCATGAAATGAAAGTAAAGAAGGGGATTGTTCTAAGGCTAAAGGGTGTAATCTGCCATAATAACATACAGGTATGACTAGCTCTGCCCCTAGACCATAGCACAACTTTACAAAGCAGAAATGACAGGTCCTGGCCAGGTAGCTTAGCTAGTACAGCATTGTCCTGATACGCCAAGGTTGCAGGTTTGATCCCAGGTCAGGGCACATACAAGAATCAACCAATGAATGCATAAGTAAGTGGAACAGTAGAACAATAAATAAATATATATCTCTTTCCCTCCCTTTCTTCTCCCTCCCCTTTTCTCTCTGAAATAAACTTAAAAAATTTTTTAAATGGCAGAAATAACAGGAGATCCAAGAAGAAATAGAAACACAATCCATTAGGGCCCTCCTACCTCTTCCTTTCAGAAATTTCTATATCTGTGAGACTGTAAGGAGTCCCCCAATAATCATTCTCGCCTCCTTCCCTTGTGATAGAATTGTTCGTTGTCCATATGACTGATTCCCCCGACTCAACACCCCCCAAATAAAACTACATTTCTCAGCCTTCTTTGCAGTTGGTTGTGGCCATTTGACTATATTCTGACTAGAGGGATGTAAATGGAGCTGTCACAACCAGCTTCTAGAAACTCCTGGAAACTTCTAGAAACTTTCCCTAAGTGATACTGTTCTCCTTTGTCGCTCTATCCTGCTTCCTGGAATGAGGATGCCACTATCTGAGACCATGAGTTTAAAAGCAAACTTGATGAGAAGAAAAACAGCAGGAGCCTGGGTTTTGGCCCATAGGGTACCACATCTGCCCTGGACCATCTGTTTATGATTGATGTGAAAGAGGAACAAACTTCTATCTTGTTTAGTTACTGTTACTATAGTGTTTCTGTCATTCAAAACCCAACATAATCCTAACTTCTTCCTCCTTAGTAAGAGACGTAGGGTTTTGGCCAACAGCTCTCCTCTCTGCCCAGAGAGAGGCAAATGGCAGATTCTCAGCCCCATGACCTACTGCTCTGGGGTTATTGAGAGAAGGGGATAGTTTTACCCAGTCTTTCCCAGATACTCATCCTGGGGTTCATAAAGCCCTTGGAACTCTAAAGCACTTCAGAGCGTGTAAGAACTAACAAATTTGCCCTGACCGGTTTGGCTCAGTGGATAGAGCGTCAGCCTGCAGACTGAAGGGTCCCGGGTTCGATTCTGGTCAAGGGCATGTACCTTGGTTGTGGGCACATCCCCAGTAGGGGGCGTGCAGGAGGCAGCTGATTGATGTTTCCCTCTCATCAATGTTTCTAGCTCTCTATCCCTCTCCCTTCCTCTCTGTAAGAAGTCAATAAAATATATATATAAAAAAAACTAACAAATTTGAAACAACAATTTGTGAAGATGTGCATTTTTTTTTTCAGGATTTACAGCCTCCAACAGATTCTCAAAGGGTTGGGGACCTTAGGGGGCAACCAGGGGTCCAGTAACTACAGAGGGGGATAAAAGGAGGCCTGTGGAGGTCACCCTTCCTAAGGATACCAGGTCTTCTGGATTCTGGGTCCTTCCTTACCTGAAGACGGGGGGACTTCTGGATTTGAAAGCTCACTGCCTGCTGCCTCCCCCAAGGTCTTAGGGGTCTCTAGACCCTCAGTTCTATTTTTCTCCAAAAGTGCTGTGTATTCTGGATGCTCCCAGGTCGTCTCCTTTCCATTCAACAGTACATTGGAAAGTGTATTCCCGAGTGTTCCCCTATCCATGGTCACAGAATGTTCTGGATTTCTGGAGCCTTTCTCGACAGCCATAGTAGCCCCTGCATCCAGAGTGGCCACTTTGCTGGGGGTAGCTGATGAGTCCAGATTCTCACTTCTCACTTTCTCCTGAGGCAGAAGAGTTTCTAGATTGGAGAGAGCTCTCTCTCTGGAAGAAATGGTAAATTCAAGACTTCTGGGTCGATTCTTTTTTGAAGGTGAACGTGCTTCAGATGCCTTCCTTCCCAGGGACCCAGCATATGACCCACTGGAGAGCCCCTGGAGCCTTCCTGCAGAGCTGGCATTCCTGCGGAGCCTGACACTGGAATCACTGCCCTTCTCCCCTGGCTGCTTGCTGGGGAGTGGGCTTCTCCTGGAACACAGAGTCCCACCCCTGGCCCCGGGCTTGCCCTGCACATCCAGGCCCTCGGAGCCCTTCTGATCTCTCCGTTTGCCCTGAGGCTTCTTCTGGGGCCCCTTCCCAGCCTCGGGCTGGCTGGCTGCTCCGTCACCACTTTGCTGCTGTCTGTCCCCTTCCAGGCCATCTGGCATCTTCAGGCTCTTGGGCTTATTCTCCCCCGAGGAACAAGACATTGCTGGACAGTCAGTGCCACTTTCTTGTATCGGATATTCTGAAAAGACAAGGAGATGCAAAGGCATGAAAATGTCAGGTGCTTAGGGCCCAGGGCTGGGGGGAAAGAAGAGAGAATCCCCTCAGAAATTAGAGAAGTTCAGAATATTCTAGACAATAGCAGTAAATTACCATGAAATAAGAACATACTATTTGCTATATATTTTTCAAATAGTGCTTTCAAACTTTTTAGGCAGGAGGATTTGTTTCCAATATCAGAATTCCAAAAACAGAATTCTTCATGCATAACTAAAATCCTAGTTTATTGGTATAAATTTGTGTGTGAATATAAAATCAATCAGTAAAGAATTCCCTTATAAGATCAATCAATAAAGAATTAACAGGTGGAAATTAGACTTTTGATGATGAGCACACTCTATACCTGCGGTTCTCAACCTGTGGGTCGCGACCCCTTTTGGGGGTCAAAAGACCCTTTCACAGGGGTCGCCTAAGACCATCGGAAAACATATATAATTAGATATTGTTTTTTTTATTAATCATTATGCTTTCATTATGTTCAATTTGTAACAATGAAAATACATCCTGCATATCAGATATTTACATTACGATTCATAACAGTAGCACAATTACAGTTATGAAGTAGTAACGAAAATAATTTTATGGTTGGGGGTCACCACAACATGAGGAACTGTATTAAAGGGTCGCAGCATTAGGAAGGTTGAGAACCACTGCTCTATATAATGTATACAGTTATCAAATTATAATTATACCAGAAATTCATTGGTTGATATTATCAACCAATGTTACTTTAATAAAAAACAAACAAACAAAACTCGCCAGGGAAACAAAATTCAATTATAACAGTAAGCAAGGGGAAGAATAGAAGTATTCAGAATGGCAAAGTAGTGGTAATCATTGAAGGGTGATGGGTACAGAGAGACTTCATCTTAGTATCCTCTACTCCTGAGTGTCTGAAAATCCATATTTAAAGGTTTTAAAGAAAACCTTCCATACAGAAGGGAACAGCAGGATGTGTACCTGTAGATGTTGACATCAGATAGAGCAGAAAAAGAAAATCTCTCCTGAAGATTTGTAAGCACAAGTCCTCTCTTTTATGCTTCAGCCCGAATTCACATTATTCATGCCTGAAACCCCTCAAGAGAGTAATTTCATTTGAAGAGGGTACTGGGTGGCATTGCCCCCAGACAGTTAGGGTGAGAGGAATTTCCACATTGCTGCATTTTGTACTGGAAAGTTAAGAGAATAAATCCTGAGTTCTCATTTTACCATATGAGAAGATGGGTGTTAACTGAACCTATGTGGCAATCATTTCACAATATATGTAAATGAAACATTATGCTGTATGCCTTAAACTTATACGTAATATATGTTGGTTATTTCTCAATAGAACTGGAAAGCGATAATTAAGGTGTTTGGCCAAAATTTTGAAATTGGGTTATGAAGGACAGTTAGAATTTTAGGAAGTAATTTATTTGTTTTTCCTTTGGTTTCATGAGGTGAAGAAAATCACAAGTCACACAGATAAGAAAGTGTAAATGGTAATTAAAGAAAACAACACACAGCTTGCCTGGAAATGTCAGGATACTGTTTAATAAAACAGAAATGACAGGAAAGGCTTAATTCCAAGATTTACATAAAAAGGAGTTCAAGTACAGCATGAACTATCACACTGGTGGCCTTCAGTATTTTAAAATTCGGTTACTGATACATTTTAATATTAATTTGTTAGTCTTGTTAGTAACAAATTTAATAAAATTTGAATCAAGTATTTGCTAATATCCAAAAGTATCCCTGAAATATCACCCTCAGATATAATTTGAAAACCACTACTCTAATAAAGAAATGAGGATACCCTGTAATTAGCACCTTAATATTTGGTTTGAGGAAGCTCTTATTGAAATTACTTCAAAGTTGCCAAAACCGGTTTGGCTCAGTGGATAGAGCGTCGGCCTGTGGACTGAAAGGTCCCAGGTTCGATTCCGGTCAAGGGCATGTACCTGGGTTGAGGGCACATCCCCAGTGGGAGATGTGCAGGAGGCAGCTGATCGATGTTTCTCTCCCATCGATGTTTCTGTCTATCTATCTCTCTCCCTTCCTCTCTGTAAAAAATCAATAAAATATATTTAAAAAAAAAAAAGAAATTACTTCAAAGTTGTTGAAAAAACACTTTGCTGTTGGCTTTGTAGGAAAACATGAGTTATCAAAACTGACTTAAGAACTGGTGAGAAATCCTGAAAATGCTGATAACCAGATTTTAGAACATAAAAAAGTAATTTAAAAATTCCATTCATCAAATTCTGGATTCAGATTACAGTTGGTTTAGTTCTGTCACTCTTTCAAAGAGCAGATAATTTTTGTTATTTAAACTGTTCTACCACATAGAAACACTTGAAAATAATTTCTAATGTATTCTTAAAGTGTAGAAATAGAAGAAAAATTCAAACACCAAAGAATATTTTTTTAATGATCATGTGTTAGCCACCCTCCAAAATCTTTAAAAAGTCTTTAAAAGCAGAAATCAAATAGGCCACATTAGCTAATCACAATATAACAAAATTGGAAAGTACAGCAAAAGACAGAAGAAGCAGGAGAAGGAAGGAAAAGAGGAAAGAAAAGATGAAAGGAAGGAAAAGAAAGGGAGGAAGGAAGGTAGGGAAGAAAGAGAGGAAGGAAAAGAAAAGAAAAATGAGAAAGTCCTCGTGAACAATTTTTAAATACCTCTGTAAAACGTGTTGACGAAGAACTCAATTGCAATCAATAAAAAATTATTTAAAAACTCAAAACTAAAATTATGTGGGTAACAATAAAAAGATTACCTATCAACCCTGTTAATACGATTGGTTAGCAAGCCACTTTTGCTCACCCAGAGACTCGTCTGTGCATACGTGTTAATTATCAATAACATGAGGAATTCTCTGGGAATAGTCATTTAGCTCCTGCCTCCCCTGATCCTTCCCTGAGTCAGAATCTCAGCTGCCTACTCCCGCCACCGCCCTTTTAAGCCATTGGGAACCTTAGCTTTACTAATCCAGCTCCAAAGACCAGAGCAGGGAGAAAGACTTGCTTGGCCAAAGTCACTAACATCTTGATAGAGCGGGACTCCTAGTCCCCAAGTCAGAGTGCACTGGTCCAAACACATGCTCATTCTTGCACCTTCCACCCCACCTCATGAACGGCCAGCAGAGGAGGGGACATGGGGGTCTGCTCACCTGGGTCAATAGCCCTGTGGAGCTCCTCTGCCAGGAGGTGCTGGTTCATGGCCCTCAGGATCTGCAGGGTCAGCTGCACAGCATACTTCTCCCCGTAGTGGTTGAGCAGAAGATCGGCCAGCTTCACCGGCCTGGCTGACGGGAGCAGGCCTCGGGGTATCCGTTGTTGCTCCTTCTCCAGGCTGGTGTTTTGCAGCTTGAACTTGAATTTCTCAAAGTCATAGGGCACCAGCTCCTCCAGGGAGTGCAACAGATAGTCACTAGGGGTCTTGGCCATGGTGTTGACCAGGAGAGGCCAGAGCCAGCTGTCTGGCTTCTGGGAGGAGAAAAGGCCCTCTGTCCTTGAGCCCAGCGGGTAAGTGAGAAGAGGCAGCTTGCGAAATAACGGAAAAGGCACAGGAAATGCTCTGTGCTTTGGTGGGAACTGAGGTTATGAGAGTCATTGCTGGCTTTGTGTTCCCTTTGTCGCAGATTCAGAGGCGTTTCCAGCTGGGAGGGCTCAATGCCTTGCCACACGTGTGGTCCTCCAGTGCCCCAGCTCTCACCTCCAAGGTTGGGTTGTAGAGAGGTGGGTAAGTCTGTGAGGGAGGGTCTGGGATTGGATTCCAGCCTCTTGATCCTTCGGCAGGCACTCAGATGCTTCCCTCTCTCCTACTTCCAAGATTCAGGGCTGGGGTGTGGAAACCAGAGTCCCTGGTCCCACGCTGGAGAGGACCATGATCAGGGTCAACCCCTCTGGCCAACTGTTCTCCAGACTCTTGGGGTTTTACTGACCCTCCAAAGCCAATGGTGAGGAGAATAGGAAGCAGCAAATACAGCCCTGCAAGGTTTGTGGCTCCTTGCCCAAGAAGGCAGGCAAGGCCAGAAGGGCACTGCCAGGAGACAAGCCCTGGTACCACCCGTTGATTCAGTTCCAGTTGTCTGGTACCACCAGCAACACGAGAGCCTCAGAGTGCCATGCTCAGCAGCACCATCCTGATTTGTTTGTTCCCAGGGCTGACTCTGTCCTGGCTTCCTGGGAGCAAACCCAAGCGAGAGGGCACTCATCCATGCTCGTTTGCGAAACACATATTCTGAATACCATGTGAGGATGCTGGAGAAACAAGGTGAATAAGACATAGGTGTTCCCATTGAGGGGTCCTCCAGGGGGCTCATGGATGTTGTACTTGAGGTGCACTGACTTGTTCCTCAGTTAACTGCTTCTGTCTTTCTGCATACCCTGATCTTTATCCCCAACGTTTTGTTTTAAAAAATTTCAAACCTATGGAAAAGTTGAGAGCATAGTACAATGAACACACACACACACACACACACACACACACACACACACGTGTGTGTGTGTGTGTGTGTGTGTATTCACAAACTGTTTATATTTCATAGTATTTGGTGATGATCTCTCTTTCTCTCTCTCATATTCATGCACCACTTTTTTTTTTTAACTGTTTGGTAATGAATTTAAGACATTATCAGATATTACTCCAAATACTCTAGATACCCTAAATACTAAGAACAAAGATACAAGTATATTATTTCAAATAATCAGAATACAGTCATTACACTCAGGAAATTTAACGTTGTCAAATCAAATTTCCTTAGTGTCCTGATAATGTTCTGAACATGTTCGTTTTTTTCAATCCAGGACCAATCAGAGATTATGTGTTGCTTTTAGTTGTTATGTCTCTCTAGTCTCCTTCCAGCTAGACCGCTTTCACACTTCCATGCTCTTTTTTTCCTTTAATTCTTTCAAGACATTAATGTTCTTGAAAGTCTATTCCAAGCAGAATGTTCCTCAACTTAGATTTGTTTGGTTGTTTCCCCATTATTAGACTGGGGGTACATTCAGGAATCCTCGAGACCTTTCCATTGTAAAGGGACATTTTTCTTTGTAATTAATAAGTAACCTGATTGGGCAGAAGTGTCTGGTCCTCCCACAATCTTTCATCCGTGGTTTTAGCATTCATTGATGATCCTTTCCTAAATCAGTTGCTACAGTGGTGGTTGCAAAATGGTGATATTTCTATCACGTAGATTGTCGCTTGTAATCCATATCCTGATTAAAACTTTGTCTTTCTCATGACATTTTTAAACCGATGTTTTGTTGGTAATGCAGTTACCCTCCAACAGTGCAGACTCTGTGCCCAGCACAGCTTGCTTTATCTCCATCACCTCCAGCATTTCTGCAGCTCCCCTTCAGGGCAGGATTCATCACCCCATTTACAGACAGGATTCAAACCCACTCTATTAGCCACTTTGCAATATTGTCTCTCTGTATGATAATTTATTGTTTTACTATGCATCACTTTATGGATATCACCTTTTCAGCTGACCAATGATGCTCAAAATGTCAGTGACAGCATTCTGGTGCCTGGCTGAACAAACAGCCGTGTGTGTGCCCAGCCTGAGACCGAGGCTTCAATGAGTTGTGGTTTATTGCATTTATCTTATTGTCCAGTTGGCTCACGAGCTTTGTATTTTTACAGAGCATTCAGTGCTTTTGGTTTAACAGCTGATTACATCCAATTCTCTGGATCCTGCTGAGAAAATAACCCCCAACCCAACGTTTTTCCTAAAAAAAAATGGATGAACCCACATGCACATTTCCAGTGTAAATGTCAGAGTGTGAAATTCTCAGGTTGGGCCAGAAGGGTGTTGACTGGGGTGTTTCTAGCACCAGGACCAGTAGGAGAAACGCAGCTGCCTCCCACCGCTGACACAAACATGATGAAATTGTGCAATGACTGCAGCGCCCTTTGTGTTTCTTACGTCTCTGACCCCGTCCTGACTGGCCAGGAAACTCCTCTAAGCTGAGACTAAAGCACCTATGACAGAATTGGATAGGAAGTGGGGTTTTCCAGGCGGCAGCAGGCTCTTTTGCAATTGCAGGGACACCTTCTGCAATGGGCAATTCTGAGGAAAGGACTTCTTGAAAAGTGATGTTTTGATGCCACTGAGAGTCTCACAAAGCTTCCATTTATTTCAGGTTCCAGTTAGTTTTTAAATGAAGAAATGTGAAAATAGGATTACAGCTCTTGGGATGCATTTTAAACCTTTTTCTTGAGTACATACTATCTCTAATAAATTTACTGTGCTTTGCCAAATCTTTCTGCCATGCTCTTGAATCCTTCCTTTTTTTTCCCAAATATATTTTATTGATTTTTTACAGAGAGGAAGGGAGAGGGATAGAGAGTTAGAAACATCGATCAGAGAGAAACATCGATCAGCTGCCTCTTGCACGCCCCCTACTGGGGATGTGCCCGCAACCAAAGTACATGCCCTTGACCGGAATCGAACTTGGGACCCTTGAGTCCGCAGGCCGACGTTCTATCCGCTGAGCCAAACCGGTCAGGGCTTAAATCCTTTCTTGTTCCGGGACAAGAATCTGGTTTGGGTTGAGGCCTCCTTTGGCCTTCCCCTTCCTGTGTGCCACCAAGGATCACCATCAAGACTACTTTCTTTTTTAAAATGTATTTTTCTTGATTTCAGAGAGGAAGGGAGAGGGAAAGAGAGATAGAAACATCGATGATGAGAATCACTGACCAGCTGCCTCATGCATGCCCCACACTGGGGATCAAGCCCACAACCCGGGTATGTGCCCTGATGGGGAATCAAACCATGACCTCCTGGTTCATAGGTCGACGTTCAACCACTGAGCCAACGTGGCTGGGCAAGACTACTTTCTAATATCAGGTAAACATAACTAGACTGTATTCACCTGCATGATAGTCTGAGGGCCACCTTTTTCCTTAAATCCTTGTCATCCATCTGGAGCATTCTCCTGCCTGCCACACCTGCCAGTTAGCAACTGTAACAACTTAAATGACTATCAGCATGTACTGGCTTAGTAAATTGTGGTGAATCTATTCCATGAATTGTACAGCATCCATTGAAAACAATGCAGTGGTTTTCCATGTGCTAGTGTGCAAAGATGGTCAATATATATTAAAAGAGCATGTTTACAATACAATGTGACAGTATAATCCCAAGTGTATAAATAATAGGAAAATATTATAAAAATGTAAATATCTCAAGGAAGACTCAAGAAATAACATGGCGCCCTGACTGGTTTGGCTCAGTGGATAGAGCGTCAGCCTGTGCACTGAAGGGTCCTGGGTTCAATTCCGGGCAAGGGCATGTACCTTGGTTGCGGGCATATCCCCAGTGGGGAGTGTGCAGGAGGCAGCTGATCAATGTTTCTCTCTGATCGATGTTTCTAACTCTCTATCCCTCTCCCTTCCTCTCTGTAAAAAAATCAATAAAATATATTTTTAAAAAAAGAAATAACATGGCAACCTCTAGAGAGTAGAATTGGGGGTAGGAGTTGTTCTTTCCCCCCTTATGCCCTCTATATATTTTTGTGTTTTTTAATGAGTAAACATTTTATGGCACATGAAACATAATCTGTGAATACATTTTCAGTGTAAAATAATAAGGCAAAACAGAAAATACAGCAAGAATGTTAGAGTAAGACTTTCATGTTTTGCTCACTATTATTATAACAAAAACTTAAATAAAACCTAATTGCCTAGCCAGTGGGTTGAGGATCGACCTACGAACCAGGAGGTCAGCGTTTGATTCCTGGTCAGGGAACATGCTTGAGTTGTGGGCTCTTGTGCTATTGCTCATATTAATGTCTAGATCAGTGGTTCTCAACTTTGGTTGCACATTAGAAATATCTGAGGATCTTTGGAAAATCCTGATGCCAAGACCAAATATATCAGAATCTCTAGCCCAGCCTGCAAGGCTCAGTGATTGAGCGTTGACCTATGAACCAGGTCAGGGTTTGATTCCAGGTCAGGGTACATGCCCAGGTTGTGGGCTCGATTCCTAGTAGGGGGCGTGCAGGAGGCAGCCAATCAATAATTCTCTCTCATCATTGATGTTTCTATCTCTCTCTCTCCCTTCCTCTTGAAATCAATTTTTTAAAAAATATATTTTTAAAAAAAGAACCTTTAGGGGGTGTAACCTACGTGCTATATTTGTGTCCCCTCAAAATTCATATGTTGAAATACTAATGCCTCATGTGATGGTATTAGGAGGTGGAGCCTTTGGGAATTGCTTTGTCATGAAGGTAGAGCCCTTGTTAATGGTATTAATCCTCTTATGAGAGATCCCATAGAGCTCCCTGGCCCCTTCCACTATGTGAGGGAGAACATAGAGACTGGCAGTCTGCCTTCTGTAAGAGGGCACTCTGATCTTGGAATTCCAATAACCAATACTGTGAAAAACAAATATCTGTTTATAAGGCACCCAGGCTGTGATATGTTGTTATAGCAACCCTAATAGACTAAGACACTAGTCATCAGAACTGTTTG